TGAATTGAAGGATTAGTGAGATAGCTAATTACGATCCCATGCACCAGTGCATTGGTTTCCCCATTAATGACTTGCATCATGTCTCGAAATATAAAGTTAGCTAGATTTATTTGAACATTATACTTGATGTGATGCAAGAAGAACAAATCATCATCCCTCACATGAGAATATTTCCTTCCACTTGGTTTTAAATTCCAAGAGGTAATCAAGTGAAGGATTTTATCATGAAAGCTGAGTCAACTAGCACTAAGGTACCTTTGCAACTCATTGTCATCAAGCCCATCTTTTAAGTTGTGCATGCATCTTCCCATTGGGAATGTGTAGCACGTGACTAATCATTTCCCTACCAACATATATACTCTTCCCCATAACACTAGTCACAAATCTATCATCATGAAAGTGAGGCCCCTCATAATCATGAGTACGGTTGTCCTTGAAAATATTTATAAAGTTATTTGGTTAGAAATTTGGGTGATTTTGTATATGTTCTTGACATCTAATTTAAGTATTAGGAGGTTTTAGCCAGTTATTTTCGTTTTATGAAATTAGATTGAGTTCACTTGCTTTAAGTTATTTTGTGATATTTTGCTTTAAGTTTATTTATTATTTAAGTTAGTTTGTTGCTTTTGTAGGTGTGTTTATGAAAAGGGTGATATTTTGTCAAGAAGAATGCATTTAATGTGTAGACTTTCAGTGCACATGTTGCAATATTTTGAGCATATCTCTCACTAAAGAAGTCCAAATGGCGTGATTATTGGATCATTGAAAAGCTAAGAGGTAGAGCTACAATTTCATATTTACCACTTGACCTAGTTCAGCTTCAAAGTAGGAGAAAATTGCATCGGAAGTCAAAGTAGTGCGGTCAAGCCTAAAAATTTAAAGCACTCATTTGGTGGTCACGACTTTCACCACTTCATGGTTACGGCCCCCCGACTACACCATCGCACTTTTGACTCTGAGGAGGTTCGTGGTCATGGGCCTTACTTGCCCATGGTGATAATTTTATTTTATAAAATTATTTTAATCCAACTTTTTTATTAAATATTAGCTAAGTCCTCATTTTCAATTATAATTTAATTATTTTTAGTTGTTTTATAATTAGTTTATTTTTAAGTGAGTTATTCTAATTTTATGTTATTTCTTTTAATTTGGTTATTATTTATTAGTTTTTTATATTTTTTGTAGGAACTAAAAGAATTAGGCTTAATTTTGGAAAGGAAGGTGTTGAAAGACTCGAAAGTCTATTTCCATATGCTTTAGTGTTTTGGCCATTACTCGCGGTACAAAACTCTAAATGATACGATTCTTAGACCATTGAAAAACTAAAAGATAGAGCTACAATTTTAAAGATCACTTTACTTTTTTAAGCCCAATTAAACTATAAGTCAACTTAGGGAATTATAGGTTAAGTCTATTAGTATAAATAGGAATTTTTTTAGAACATTAGAGTAGACAACTCTTGAGAGATTCAAGAAGCTAGAAGTTGAGGCTGAAACTTGGAGGTCAAGCCGGCAAATATTGTTTTGTTTTCTTCCTTGGCTTTTATTTTTCTTGTTACTCTCAATGGTTGAATTTATTATAATGTTATTTGTTTTTGTAATCATGAGTGGCTAATTTTCTTTTTTTAGGATTGCAATTGAACTCACATGTAATCTAAATTTTTAATCTCTCTCTTTCTTATCTTTAATAGGATTTGAATTATTTATTCCAATTTGTTCTTAACGCTTTTAATTGCTTGGCCACCAATTAAATTGATTTAGGAACGTAAACAAACTTGAGAAAGAGAGTTTAGTGTAGACTAAAATTGGGATAGCATATGTCATATTAATTGATTTGTGTATAGAATAGGAATATACCTATAGGCCATATATAGCTAAATTAGAACCTAAACTTAATAAGTTTATTTTAATTTTAATTCACATAGGACTATAGTGTTTTGGTTAAAATAGATATTTTTATAAGATGAGTCGGAAGACCTTTATAAATAATTTAAGACTCTAGGTTAGTAATACAACCCATTGAAATAAGTTAAGGAAGAGGTAAGATTTAGATGAAGTGTGAGGGATATTGTGATCCTAGGGTTGTTTAATTTGGCATTTACTCAAACTATTAATATTTTGATTTTTCTTAGTTTAATTTTTAGTTAATTAGTTTTAGTTAATCAATTAATTTTGAGTGTTTGGATAAGATTAATTTGTTATAACTTTAGTACTTATTAAACTTTTAGATCAATTCCATGTGAGATCGATACTCTGCTTACTTATATACTATCTATTCGATACGTATACTTGCATAGTAAAATTTTAATTGACAAGGTTTTGGCGCCGCTGCCGGGGAATTGTTTCTAGAATTTTTATTAATGCTAATACCAAGAAATTTAGTCTTCAAATTTTATTTTTTGTATTTTAATATTAGATTTTGTTTGCTTATAGATATCTTTGGTCATTGTATGTAAAGAAGAAACAACTTGAATCTTGTTCCTTTTGATCTTGAGATAGAGAGAACTTTTAGAAGACGTCAAAGGAAGAATTTGCAAGTTGCAGCGTTAAATCAGACAATGGCTGAGGATAACAATAACAATGGCAATAATGCCATTAATCTAGTTCTCGAAGCAAATAAAGCACTACGAGATTATGCTGCTCTTCTTTTACAAGGTTTGCACAAAGCATTAGGAGACCTTCCATTAATGCAAATAATTTCAAAATTAAACCAGCTTATATTTTAATGATTTAGTCTTTAGTCCAGTTTGGTGGGTTGCCCGGTGATGATCCTAATTCTCATTTAGTAAATTTTTTAGAGATTTGCGATACCTTTAGATACTATGGAGTAACTGATGATGCTATTAGATTGAGACTATTTTCATTTTCTCTGAGGCATGAAGCAAAAAACTGGCTTAATTGACTGCTCAATGGATTTATCACTACATGGGAGGACTTGACTCAAAAGTTTCTAGCAAAATTTTTTTCACCTGCCAAGACTGCAAAGATAAGGAATGATATCACCTCATTCACACAATTTGATGGTGAGTCCTTATATGAGGCTTGGGAGAAGTTTAAAGAACTATTGCAAAGATGTCCACATCATGGGATTCATGATTGGTTGCAAGTTCAGACATTCTGCAATGAGCTGGTTGGGTCAATAAAAACTACAATTGATGTTGTTGCTGGTGGGGCATTAATGAGTAAGAATGCTACAGATGCATATAATTTGTTAGAAGAGATGGCCTCAAACAATTATTAATGGCTTTCAGAAAGGTCAGGTCTGAGAAAAGTTGTTGGGGCTTATGAAATTGATGCACTTGACACCTTAACTGTTCAAGTAGCTACGCAAGTGACTGCATTGTTCAAGAAGTTTGACACACTGAGAGTTCATGTAGTTCAAAATTCATTAGTAGTTTGTGAGATGTATGGAGATGGCCATTCATATGCTCAATGTCCATACAATTCTAAATCAGTCCAGTTTATGGGGAACTTTAATAGACAGTAGAATAACCCATACTCCAATACGCATAATCCTGGTTAGAGAAACCACCCCAACTTTTCTTGGAGTAATAATGTAGGGCTTTCCAATCCAACACCCATCATGCCTCTTGGTTTTCAACAACAAGCTAGCCCATAAATTTTTGAAAATAAGTCCTAATTGGAAGAACTTCTCTTGTAATATATATCCAAGATTGATGCTATAATTCAAAGTCAAGGAGCCTCATTGAGAAACCTTTAGACCCAATTGGGACAGCTTACAAACTCTATCAGCAATAGACCTCAAGGTTCCTTACCCAATGACACACAAATCAATCCTAAAGGTAAGGAACATTGTAATGCAATCACCTTTAGGAGTGGAAAAGAAGTTGAAGGGGTGAGAGAAAAATCAATTGAATCTTCAAAGGATCATGTAGATGATGACAAGGTAATTGTTGAAAAAGAAGTTGAAGTGGAAAATATAGATACTGGGCAAGTTAAAAATCAAGTGAATTCTCAAGCAAATTATCTTCCACCACCATTCCCAGAAAGATTGAAAAAGTAAACGCTTGATAAACAGTTTGAAAAATTTCTCAATGTCTTCAAGAAGCTCCACATAAATAGCCGTTTTGTTAAAGCTTTGGAAAACATGCCAAGTTATGTTAAATTCTTGAAAAACATCTTAACCAATAAGAGGAAATTGGAAGATTTTGAAACAGTAGCACTTACTGAGGAGTGTA